TATATTATCATGTGCTGTTCATTTTATTTAATGTATTTTTAATGTATTTCAATGTATTTCAGTGTATTTTTATTTGTAATTCTGGTCCGTGACCCTAATAAAGATGATGATGATGATGATTGAAATAGAGGCTTATCAGATGTCCTGTTCTGACTCAGATTGTTCTTGCTTGTCCTCCAGCATGGGTTTCCTGGTCAGTTTACAAAAATGTCCCAAAGAAAGAAAGTAGGACTTAACAGACCTTAACAGACCTGCAAAGGGAGAATGACGCCCTAGCTATGTGTCACAATTTTGTCCCTATTTGGGGAACATAACTTGAGCCATTTAAATGCCTACTGTATCCCTTTGCTGGCAGAGGTAAAGGAGAAATGAGTTTCATCAGATGGCTAAATGCACGTTCTTCATTGCCTGAGTGGTGTGGATTCAATCTCACTGCACAGATGAAACCGAAGCTTGTTTTGAAAGAAAGCTGAAGTCTATCCTCTCTGGCTTTATCTGAATGAGCTTACTGATCATGACCTTAGTCCCAGTTTAACTGCTATGGAGTGCTTAAAAGATACTGCCCACTGGATGCTAACAACCACAAGCTGAAAATGATCCTTCACATCAAAGGCAGAACTGCCATATCTGTCCCATTCTTAGGATGATTTTTCAGCGGAATACAGGCTCTCAGGCATCTCTCTTACCCTGTGAAAATTGGAAAACTTGCCCTTGTTCAAGTGTAAATCAGCCACAAGAAGTCTGTTAACAACAACAACAAAGACTGGATCTAACATAGCTTTAAGCTCTGCTTACCTGCGGTTTCCTGAATAAACCATAGGGCCTGTGTGCACACAAGATGCTAAGCCAAAACCAAATCGAATCAGATAATAGCTTGGTGAATGGATTCCAAACTGGCTGGTCTTCTATCAAGCCATTCAATCTTTAAGAGGCCACAATCGTTTTTGTTACATAAAATATTCATTTTGTGCAGTGATGTCTATAGCCCTCTAGTGGCAAGATACAGAACTGTAAAGATATCTCCCTTGTCTAATTTCTAACTCCTGCATTTGTACTGAGTCCCCTGCCCCACCCCCATCTTTCAGCTCAGCAAGTCTTACAGCTCCAGTTCCTTCCGGTTGGAGGTTTATTTTCCGCTTCTCTGCCAACTTCCTAACTCACCTCCTTTTTCGCCACACCTGCACACAGACTTGATGGGACATGCTGTCCCATTAAGGAGAGGGTGGGGCTGTTTTAACCTCCCCTTCCCAGACAGCACCAATGGTGGTGAGTTCATTCTTCCACACCCAGGTGACCGGTGTTCCCTTTTTCCTTGTATCCATTCTCTTCCATATTGCTCTCCGGGTCAATGTACCTAAACAAGTGTGTGTGTTGGGGGGGGGGAGGTTAATCACACAGTTGCAGCTGCCCTCTTGAGTTTTTAACTCACCTGCACACCCCATGGACACTCCCGCCATTTATTTTATCTTCCTCTATCCACATCTGGTTCTTTCTCCCTCTCTCAGCTGCTGTAAATCATTTTTTTGTTTGTTGGTTTGCTTTGAGTTAAGAAGCCACTCCAACCTTTCACTCTTGCAAACTCTGGTCAAGCTTCAGCCAAGTTACGGGCCCCTGGCTCTTGCTAAGGTTGCAAGCTATGGTGGCTGCTGGCCTCTGCTTTTGGCTTTCCCTAAACTCTACTGTAGGAGGAGTAGAGGAAGCTGCCATTGGCCATGGTAAGTGGTGATCAGCAAAAGAATCTGACTTGGTCTATGGCAGCCCCAAGTAGCTCATAGTCCCTGCAGGTGGAAACTCTGGGAAAGCAATTTTCTCTCTTGAGTTTTTCTAAGCTATCACCACACCCTGTACTGATCATTTCTATAGATGTCAACCCTATAAGATAGGCTAGACTAAGAAACCAATGTCACATAGGTCAGGAGTAATTTTATTGAAGCGGCTATAGTAACAGAAACTTCCAAGTCTGAATATGCTCCCCCCCACCTTCATGTGAATTAGGGAGGGGTCTGTCTGAGACCTTTACTCATACTAGTTTCTTGGAATGAGCTCAAGATCTGCCGGTCTGATCATTGCCTTAGCAGTGGCTCTTCCTCCTGTCCTTCAAAGCCATTCCCTATGCCCTTTACAATATATTAACCCACAGGTTTGAGTTCTTTCCTTATTGAGGACAATTATAAATCAGTACGGTTCAGGACTATTTCACAAAAACTGCAACATCTTGGCTTCTCCAAGAAGGTGTTCCTAATGATGGGCTATGAGTGTGTACTTAGTGCATTTAAACAAAGTATCAAAGATCTGGAAGTCCAACAGGACCAGCCTGCTCTACCTAGGAACGTTTTTCTGAGCAGATTGGCTCATTTTTATAAACCAGCAAGATCCTTACATTATAAAACTGTCTCCAAATTCCAAAAGGCACTAACTCTAGCACATTGCAACGCAGCAGTTTTAGAGGGCAGATACAAAAAAAGTCCCATATGAGCTGAGATTGTGCCCCTGTGGACAAGGGGCTATTAAAACTACAGCTTATGTCTTACTATATTGTACCTTCTATAAGGACTCGCAGACCCATTTTATAACTTTATTTGATAAAATACCCAGGAAATTCTGATTTTTTTTTTTTTTATATTCTGTAGTTGCTGCTATCTGATCAGTATGATTCAGTTTCTTTGAATGTAGCTAAATTTTGTTATACTGCCCATAAAATTAGGCAGACTTTGCCCGCTGATGATCCCATCATTAACTAATATATTATCATGTTTTGTTTTATTTCATTTTAATGCATGTTTATTTGTAATTCTGGTCTGTGACCATAATGAACGATTGAATTACAATATATCAATGATGGGTCTTGATACCTCTTTCTTTGCTAGGTGCAAGGGTGAATTCCTTTGGTTGCATTGGTAGTACTGCTGGCTACCGAGCTGTTGCAGAGTGGAATTTCCCTGCCTTAGAAGAACACCAGAAGCTCTGAAGAGGGAGGGTGTTGCCTTGACATTCTAGTTGCACTGCTGCCAATGAAGATTAGAGCTTCATTCTCCTAAAAGGTTCCCGTTTCACTTTCTCTTTCAGCTCTACACAGAGCCAGCCTCGCGACATGGCCAGGCGACTCCTTTTCTTCATCATCTGCCCTGTAAGTATTTATCCAGACCCAGTGTTTCTTGCCTTCCTTAAAGGACCCACGCAAGGGGTATTTTTGGTACCAGAGATTCAGTTGCTTGTTTTGACCTGTCATGGTGTAGCTGAAACTATTCTATCTGCTGCTTTTAACAAGAGTAGTATAGTCAGTCAAATCTTCATTACGGTCACAGCTTAAACAAGAGTGGTAGCTTTACACAGAAACAATCTTGTTTTTTTAAGGAGAAGAAAAAGGTACTGAGAGGACTGTGTGTGGTACAGTTCAAGAAGGGATATTAAAGGGATATTATTCTTTCTTTTAATTATAGAAATAGAAATTTACGAACTATCAGAAGTAGGCAGTATATCAAATTGCTTTTATTACCAGTAGGTTTATTGCCAGCAGACTGAACCCATTTGACGGTTTTAAATGACCAGGAAGAATAAGGTAAAACCCTCAGGATATGTTGTTTGCAATAATTTATGATGTAATTCTGAGTTCATTCTTGTAAACAGGAAGTTGACCATTTTTAAAATTCTTCTGCATCTTGGGCAAATGTCTTTCAGAGACACGACAAGAAGCTCTGGTTTAAGGTGCTGCACATTCTGTCTACGTGTGATATTCAAAGCTATGATAATTTAAAGTTGTTTTTAATTACTTACAAGGTTAACTTTATTTTTTAAAATCTGAAGCCTTTGGATAGGAGAGGTATAAAAAAAAGGGGTCACTACCAGTTCTGACGATATGCCGTTAAACTCAAGTTGACAAGAAAATACCTCTGCATCTTTTTAGGTTTAGTCATTCAGATTCCACAGCATCTTATTTTAGCTGTTTCTGGTCAACCACTTCTAATTTCAAATGTGGGACTTTTGAGTGTTCTTTCATGTGAAAAAGTCCCTGCATTTAAACAAGGTAGCACACCAGGGAGGAGACATCAGCTCTTTTGGATGAACTAGCTTTCTATGAAAAAGGATATTTCCACTCAGAGTAGCAGTGTAGCACTCAGAAATGCATTTTTCCACCCTTAGTTTGAAGTAACGTAGCCCCACTCAATTACCTGGCATTCTGTGGAAGGAAAAGCTCTTTCTACCTGAACAGTTCCCAACTATAACTTCTCTTTGCATTAGGAAATAAAACAGATCATGTTTAATTAAATTTTTAAAAGGGCATTTTATTTTAGCGCTCTTGATTGAGGGACACAGGGGTGCCTGCAGGGTGGGGTCAAAAAAACTCCAGATGGTGGCCATGATGGTGCCAGGGACAGACAAAATGAGTGAGCTTCCATCACACTGCCATGGCCACCATCTTGACTCTTTGACCATACCTCCCAGACATCCCCAGAGGAATGAATTTCTACAGAATATTATGCCCAGTTGCCCCCTGTGCTGCTAGAATAAAAGCACAAAGGCGAGCAAGGAGATAGAATACATGGGAGAATAAAAGCATGAATTTCTAGATAGGATGGCAAGGGACACAGGGTTTATGAAGGAGGGCTGTGCAAACCCTTGAGAAGAGATGCTTGGTGCTTCTTTTTAAATAATTAAAACAGCCAGATCTTTTTTTCTGGGCTTATGCTGCTGGGAAACTGCTTCCAGCTGTTGTTGCATGCATGTGAATGCACAGCCATTTCCTACGTGTTTTTCCCTCTTGGAGAAAACATGTATGTGGAGACAGCTGGAGACTATTTCCAAAGCTACCACACCAGCCTGGAAAAAGATGCAGCTGCTTTAATGATTCAAAAAGAGATCCTTCATATGTACTCCTGCACTTTCCAAAGCATTTTTTTTGCAAGGATATGCACAGCCGTACTACTTAGGGACTAAACCTGGTTCTTGTTTATTATGAGGTTTACTCTTGGTCTCCACAGTGGCAATCTCAGAGTACCCCAAAGGCTGTCTATTCTCATGTGTCAAGAGCTACCAGCCTATCCATCCCTTGGGCCCTTTTGGGGCACACAGTTCATGCCATACAGGGTTAGCAATGAATTGCCTTCTGGCCATGAAACTCAAGGACGAAGAATGAGCAGGTGCCAGGACTAAGACAGATGTTTATGTAAGAGTTGTGGCATAGAAGTCACCTATTGCACAGTGTGGTTATCCCTGACTCCTTTGCAGTTGTATAGCTGGCTGGTAATGAAGATTGATACAAACTACAGATGGTCTTCTAATAACCCCAGTATGTTCCACTCCTAATGAATGCAGCCTGTGGAGAAACTGTTCAGAAACTTCACCCTTAAATGTTGTGCCCCAAAGTAGGGCAGCAGGGAACAGGTGAAAAACAGAATGGCCAGTGGGCTAAAGGAAGAGAAAAAGTATCCTCATCTGCTGCATGACTACCTTAAGGGAAGAAAAGGGGGAGGAAGCTGTCCCAAACTTCAGTTGGCTATAATGAATATCCACCGATAAGCAGTCAAAGATGAGTGGACCTTGTGAAAGGGGTAAGCTGCATAATGGGATAACCAGGGGTCATAAGGTAGAACAGGTGGAATATTTTACCTAGCTGGGAGCAGAATTTTACTCCTGGGGAAGTCTGAAATCTCAGAGGGATTCTAGAGCAGTGATAGGCAAAGGGTTTCAACATTTCTGTTTTCAAGGGTAGGTAAACACTTGCCACCATTGAATTACTTC